TTTTGTTTGCACTCAGTGGCCTGTTATTATGTTGTGTATAGGTTTCTAAATGTTGCTTTGTGACAGAAAGTCATTGTATTATTTACGTCTGTATATTTCACCCACAAAAACTGTAAAATGTCCGACACTGTAGACCATACTAATACATGTAATATTGTATTCATCAACAACAAAAATTCCTATAATGTACTGTTCTGTATATTATCAAAGAATGCTTTCTCAGAAGTTGACTTATCAGAAAACGTCACCTTGCAAAATATAAGACCTTCAACAGAGATTTATATTCATTTGAACATCATTATACTTAAAGACTGCATTTGAGAGTCGCCGAGAACAGTCTGACCTTCTGACCTAATGAAACAAGGTAACATGTGGTTTATTCTTTTATATATTTTTTATGAGATTTTATGATAAACATTTCATCATGAAAATTGAGGTTTTCTGGTAGAGCCAGGCTTTGGACCTGGGACCATTGAGATATAGGTTGGCAGTGCTAGCTGAGTGGTCAGGACTGATGTGAACAGATCTACAAGAGGTCTGTCCCATTCCTGACAAACTGCCTCAAAAACCAGGAGTTTCAATTGCTATTCCATCGGTGCAGGTTGACAACATTTGGAAAAGATAGTAGAATGCTTCTCTTGGCAATGCAGAAGGCCAGAACATCCATAACAACAATGGTAGTAAAGTAATATAGAAATAAGTCAGAATAGCAGAACACTGGTAGTAGCATAATACTGCCACTGAAGGACAGCAATATGATATTTGAGTGGTATACTGCTCTTCTGAGTCTTAATCCTGGACAGAAGGTAAGCAGCACAGCTGTTCCTGTCGTTGGCACCATGGATAAAGAAGGAAGTTCAAGTGTTACATCATGTGCATGCGTTCATACACAGACAGGGCAGTGGGACCACCAAAGGGAGGTTTGTGATTTCTAATTCCTAGTGCCTGGTTCAGACAGGGCAGTGGGGCCACCAAAGGGAGGTTTGGGATTTCTAATTCCTAGTGCCTGGTTCAGACAGGGCAGTGGGGCCACCAAAGGGAGGTTTGGGATTTCTAATTCCTAGTGCCTGGTTCAGACAGGGCAGTGGGGCCACCAAAGGGAGGTTTGGGATTTCTAATTCCTAGTGCCTGGTTCAGACAGGGCAGTGGGGCCACCAAAGGGAGGTTTGGGATTTCTAATTCCTAGTGCCTGGTTCAGACAGGGCAGTGGGGCCACCAAAGGGAGGTTTGGGATTTCTAATTCCTAGTGCCTGGTTCAGACAGGGCAGTGGGGCCACCAAAGAGAGGTTTGGGATTTCTAATTCCTAGTGCCTGGTTTGTTTATGCGGAACAACCAGTTTATCTGTTTTTAAACGTAAAATGTTCAGGTATAAACCCTAGCAGAGCTACAAATGTTAAGCAGGACTTGCAAGGCTTTGTCAAGACTTGGCTGAAGTCAGATTACTAGGTCTGACCGTACATGTATTTCATAAACGAAAAACTCTGGTCCAACTGGTTCCACCGTTTGAATCTCAATAAACGAAAGTGGCCTTATATAATGATGCAAACAAATGGATGACTGGAAGATATACTCAAGTTATGGTAATTATTTCTGATATCAAGTTTGGTTTATAATAAAAAAGATGATTTTTCAAGAATTTACTTTCAATGTAGTTTTCCTTGTTTTGAAGCTCATGGAACACCTTAGAAAATTAAATTTGTTTTTAAATGATGAAATTGGAAATTGCTCCAAAATATTTTAGTATTAATACAGTAGTATACACATACAAAATAACACATGGTACGTATACTGAGTTGTGAATGAAGTTTCTGTTTAACAAAACGTTACACAATAGGTTATATAAGTCTCCTCTTAATTTTTCAAACTTGAAGTACAGAATAAAATTGATAGCAAAACAACAACCTTTTCAAAAACCAAGATATAATCTGAGGTTATTGTCATGAAATTGGAGCCTGGTAAATTCTCTCCAAAAAACAAAACAACAATATTTGATCCCTGCTGTTCGCATTTTAATGTCTCCTGTTTAGACATTTTATTGTCAAGCTTCTAGAAAATGAAATAGCAATGTGTGACACTTTTACAGTTAATACGAAAACTAATTAGAATTTCATGGAGTGAAATGTGAAACAGCTGTAAATATGGCAAAGTGATAATTTTTTGATGATTTCAGATTAGTTTCTGGTCTTTTTTTGCCCCCGCCATAAAATGGGGGAGCATATAGTGTTACCCATGTCCGTCTCGTCCCGTCCCGATTCAATGTAAACACTTGGCAACTTCATTCTTTGACAGATTTTGGTCAAACTTTATACAAAGGTCAAGTATGATTTTACTTCGGACATCATTGTATTTCAGGGATCCAACGGACATCACTGTATTTCAGGGATCCAAGCTCAAGGCCAAGGTCACACTCGCTATATATAGAAAATTGCCCGTCCCGTCCCGTCCCGATTCAATGTAAACACTTAACAACTTCATTCTTTGACAGATTTTGGTCAAACTTTATACAAAGGTCAAGTATGAGTTTACTCCGGACATCATTGTATTTCAGGGATCCAAGGTCAAGGCCAAGGTCACACTTGCTATATATAGAAAATCATCAACTGATTCAATTTAAACACTTAGCAACTTCATTCTTTCATGGATTTTGGTCAAACTTTATGCAAAGGTTAAGTATGAGTATACTTCGGAAATTCTTGTGTTTCAGGGTTCCAAAGTCAAGGTCAAGGTCACTGTTGCTATATATAGAAAATCATCTACTGATTCAATTTAAACACTTCATTCAACTTCATTCAATATTTTATGAAGATGGTAATAACATACAGAAAAAACATGAATATTAAAATCAACTTTAAGTGTAGTACCTTGTGTGTGTGCATGTTTCAGGGTATCAAGATCAAAGTGGTTGTAACTTTTTATAGAACACTGAAACTAATTTCACATGGCAGCGGGGGCATTCATGTCTTACAGACATTTTCTAGTTTCATATACTGTATGTACTTTTCTCTTTTTGGTATGTGAATGACCAAGTGAAAATCTTAATATTTTACCTCGACAAAGTAGATTTTAATAAGATACACAATGTGCCCTTATTACCGGTAATAACAAAAGGATATACATATACTTTTGTACTTTGTTAATAATAACCAATTGAGATTTTTTAGTACTTTACTTTGATATTATCAATTTAGCGGTCCTATTACACACATTGCTTTTGCTGAAATCCAGTAAATGGGAGGGGGAATAGTTCTATATACATGAATAAGGTGAATTCATAAACTGCTACACAGAGAAACAGATATAAGGGGATTCAAACTGAAACTAGATGTCAAATACCTGTCTATTATAAGAATTGGTCAATATCCTTTACAGTCTTCTGTTGGAAATTTGATCTAAATGCAATAAAATGGGTGCATCTAATTGATTAAAGCTGATCGGAGATTATGTGTAGAGGACTAGTGAGCTGTTGTGTCGTACAGGTAGTATTACGGCCGTGCAATATCCGTCTCCCTCTGTATTTTATATTTCACATAAAACCAGGAATATCAATACTTTGTTCTGTGCGATTATCTTTCCCATCTGTCATCGTCCTCGACACTAGCCACTCCAGTTGTATTTGTGTGGCGTTATTGAGTGGTACTTTGATAATTCTGATGATAATACCAAAGTATCTAAACAAAGGCAACTTGATTAAGGCGAAGATTTGTATTGCAAGGATATTCATTATCTTAAATTTATTGCTTTTGTTGGGCACTACTTTCTAGAACTAAATGCAGTTCCAGTCTATGTAAGCAGTTTTATGGTTTTAATGCGATGGAAAGTTTTTGCAAATATTTTGTCCCCTAGCTAGCTTACTGGCCTTTTTAGGATTAATTCAATTTTGTGAAATCAGTACCAAACCACAAGTTTTGATGAATATCAAACTGTGTTACCATAAAATTACCAAAACCAGATTATTTAGTCGTATCAAATCATGTCTCAGATCAGCATCGGACATAACCCAAGTTCTCTCTGGCCCAGTGTAGGCCCACCAGACATCTATCTGTCAAAATGTAAGTCTGGTGTCAGGGCCAGAGGTAACTCGGGCTATGTCACAGACATCTATCTGTGAAAATGTCTAAGTCTGATGTCAGTGACAAAGGAAACCCAGGCCATGTCAGAGACATCTATCTGTCAAAATGTCTAAGTCTGGTGTCTGAGGGCCAGAGGTAACTCGTGCTATGACACAGACATATATCTGTTAAAATGTCTAAGTCTGGTGTCTGAGGGCCAGAGGTAACTCGGGCTATGTCACAGACATATATCTGTTAAAATGTCTAAGTCTGGTGTCAGTGACAGAGGAAACCCAGGCCATGTCAGAGACATCTATCTGTCAAAATGTCTAAGTCTGGTGTCTGAGGGCCAGAGGTAACTCGGCTATGTCACGGACATCTGTCTGTCACAATGTCTTAGTACGGTGTCGGGGCCAGAGGAAACTCAGGCTACACCAGACGTTGATCTGTCAAAATGTCTAAGTCTGGTGTTGGGGCCAGAGGTAACTCGGGCTATGTCACAGACATCTAACTGTCAAAATGTCTAAGTCTGGTGTCAGGGCGAGAGGAAACTCCGGCTTTGTCAGAGACATTTATCTGTCAAAATGTCTAAGTCTGGTGTTGGGGCCAGAGGAAATTGGGCTACACTGAACCATATTCCCCATTCGGTGATTAGTATAAAAACCTGTTCCCTGCAGATAAACGTCAAACTTATGTTCCTTGGTGTGTCTCAAACCACATTTCCTGATGTGGGGTTTAGTATTAAACCATATCTCTTAGCTCAATCACCCCTAAAGACACATTTGAACTCTTCCAATTCAAAGGTTGGAATAGTTCATTATAAAATTTCAGGGGTGAATAAGCTAATCAGTATCTAATTGTATTCCCCAATCTGTATCAAACCATGTTCCCAAATCTGTAATAAAGCTTGTTCTGATCAGTAACAATATGGAACCTTCTTTTCTAAACAGGAGTGGTAGGCGATCAAGGGACACGACTCCACAAGGGCGAAAGGTGAGTACTTTTAACATTTTAAGGACATTTTGATTCACTGGCATATAAAGGTCACTAATTCTATTCCTGGTAAGGTCATATCAAAGAAGGATGCGATACTCCAGTCTCGTGAGGGCAGTATTGATAGGTATATACAGGAGTCTGTCCATTGGAGAGATGGTTCAGGTATATATATAAGAGTCTCTCTATTGGAGAGATATGGGCCTGTGGAACCAGTGTCTCTGGGTCACGAAAACATGTTTAAGCAGTATCGTCCCTGGCTCAACTTTCCATGCATTGCTCCAAAATCAACCAATTATTAAAACAATGCAAAAAGATCATATCTGAATTACCATTTAAAAAAAATATAATTTATTACAACCAAAGGTATTTATTACATGTTCTTTGTTTATTGATTACATAAGATTGAGAAAGTACCACATAGATCTGACTTTTTCTTCCATTAAGATTGAATAGTGTTGTAAAGTAGGACCTGGATTATACATAAACAGTATTACACTGAACTGGAATCCCTACAGCTTGGTGTCCCACTGAACACATACCTCACATATCTGTCTGTTATCAGTTTTCATTACATTTTGATGAACTGTTTATTTATCATAAAATTACGCAATTTAAGATGATTACTTCACAATGACAAGTCGACTAGAGATTATGCTGGCCACTTATCTGTGTAGGGTATCTCTTAAGGAATAAACCACAATACGACGTGGCCATACATCAAAGGAAATGGACCTCTTCGTACACGTTCTGCAGCAACCCACTGCAGCTACTTGGAAAGCAGTGATGAGATTTTTATGTAGGTTTTATTTGATTTTAAAACCTACATGTTGGGATGTGATGTTTTAAGTGTCACAAATAGAAGTTTATAGGTCTACAACAGGTAATTTCACACGGTTTTAGCTGGGTAGGAAGATAGAAATAGAACTGTGGAGGACAACTTTAATCCTACTCAAAACCGTCAAGTTTCATGTCGGTCAGCTTGCCTTGAGGCAGGTAATGATACTGTTGACGATCATCCTATTACACTTTTCAGATCACAAAGAAAAAATGCAGTTTTGAGTTTGGCTTTGAAAAGTTTTGTCAAGTTGTGTCACAACTGGGCTCGTTATTTTATCAGGTTTTGTGTCGTCCTCCGATCTGTTCTGCGGTGTATTTAGTGGTCCTACAGATGTCTGAAACGCGATAGTTTATGGCCTGTTGAAAGTGTTTAGCTTGCCCCTATCCTTCTCCGAGAGTGAGTCAATAGTATTTTGAGAGGATTCCACAACCTGATATGTTTGCTCATTGTTATCAAAGGAGTCTGGTATTTAAACTTCGTCTTTGTCCCCATCATTGTGTAATATCGTCATTATGAATTGTCATATAACAAATTCCGAAATTACAAAAACTAGGCGTTCTTAAGTTTTCGCTGGGAGGTAAAAAAAACTTGCTTGGCAAGTGAGTTAAACTGCAATAAAACCATGTAAAATAATTACGGGAATAGAAACCAGAGTGATGACAGGATTGTGTTTCGGGTACTCTGTAATCCCACCGTGCGAGTTGTCAGTGACGACAGCTTCAACAGTTGCAGCCTAATATGTTGATTGAATTTAAATACAGCCCTGATATGGGGCGGAAATTCAAACCACCTCATAGTGTTACAAGTATGAAGGGGGACCGATGGCCAACATGTGGCGTTACCTTAATTGTACTCTAAGATTCAATCTTGTTCTTTAGGTATCAAAATAGAATTCAGAATTAATTCATTTGAACAAATTTTTTTTCTGGTTCTGAATAGTCTATGGAAATGACCAAGGTTGATTTAAGTGAAATAATTCAGACACCATGTGAATGTAGTAGTGATCTGTCTGCAGAAAAGGAGGACACAAACCTTCACATTGATGTAATGTTACATTTTACAATGTACTACAGTTCAAATTAAAGTCCATAAACTACGGGTCAATTTATACCCTTGTAAAAGATGTTTGATGGTTGAGTCACACTACAGTCTAATGGTTAGTCCATACCCTTGTCTGATGATTGAGTCACACTACAGTCTAATGGTAAGTCAATACCCTTGTTTGATGGTTGAGTCACACTACAGTCTAATGGTTAGTCCATACCCTTGTCTGATGATTGAGTCAGACTACAGTCTAATGGTA